ATATATATATATATCTTGGACAATTGAGTAAACTTTGTGCATAGGAGTTATGGCAAGCAAATCATCGAGAAAGTTCGAGTTATTAAATTGTAAAGATTTGACAATTTTTCTAAATTCTGATGATCGATACTTTTCTAGACAATATGCATAATATATGTCATTCATATATGTCAGCTGATTACACGATTAAATGCGAAAAGGATCGTTCTCATTGTCTCGCGCGGTTAAAGCTCGCGCTTTAACCTCTAAGCAAATTTCGTCATATGCAATTTATACGCGACGTGTATTTGTGAAGTATCGAGATGAGCCAAAAGCAATAATATCGCGATAAATGTTCCGAGCATGTGTTTTCCACGTCATTCGATCTTTATAATTTTGACAGAGAGTTGAACCGAGAATATATTATCGTAATACGAATATATATATATTCGTAATTCGATACACATACACAAGTGAATATTAAATTACACTTTTATCATAAATTATGCTGATTTGCAATGCGCCAGAATGAGATTATAATATAAACATATGAGCCCGCGGTAAGGAATGACAAAATTATTTACGTATACGTGAGCAAATTTGCCATTTAACTAGTAATTTTTCTAAAAACAAATAACACCTTTGGAATTTTGTAAATGTTATACATAAAAAAAGATGCAATTTGCATAGCGCGTCGTAAACAATGCAAAAATGCAAACAATGACTTTTTAGACGTATACAAAATATTTTACTGTGCATGTGTATAAATATTTAAATTACTAAATCTCTCAGATATTTACGTCAACGAAAAGTATTAGTCTCCAAGTCTTTTCTATGAAAAGAAGATAAAGTTTAACGAAAGTTCGAAAGGTGTCGTGAAATGTTCGCGTTCAACGTGTAATATCACTTGAAGTAATCGCGGCATAAAAATAAATGCAAAATGATTATCGCGACATCTAAATTAAAAATATATGTGTCCTAGCGCGATCGAGTGAATTGTACCAAATGAAAAAAAAAAATCCCATCGACGCAGGACGATACTCATGTCCAGATACACACGCAAAAATATAAATGCACGACGTTATATATATATATGTTTCCACATGTGTCGCGTTGGATTCACAACCGCGCTTGCAGCTTCCGCGTATATATGTTGCGCGATATGATTATTGTAACAGGCTTTCGTATTATATATATTTTTGTGGTATACTTACTAGAGAGAACGGTAGAGTATATCGGTCTAAGAGAAGGAACGACGATTTTAACAACACACGCTTTCGGAGAACAATCACAAAAGACTGCAAACAATCCCAAGTAATAGATAATGCTCCATGAGTGCGATTAACTATTTTACGTACCGACGACGCGTTATATACATAGAAAATTGTACGAATACAGAACTCACGTTTTAAAGCTGTCCTTTGGAAGCCATCATATGAGCTAAAGAACACTGTCAATGTACGGTATATGAATGGACGCGATCCACTTGACGTTTCCGAATCCTCCCAAACTTCTATGTCTCCATGTAGCGTAGATTCACGTTAATCCAAATACAGCGGTCAAAATCGCTCTTTGAAGCACTTGTAACGTCAACTGAACCGCAGCATCCAATGACGCTGGGTGAAGAGAAGTCCCTCGCATGCGCACAATAGTATTTTAGTACAACCGCTTGCCTTCTCTCATTTTGTCAATTGCGAATATATATTTTTTATCAGAAATATATATATTCGCAATTATATTGTAGGCTTCTCGAGAATGATAGGGTAAATAGATAAAAAAAAAGTTTTCAATTAAATAATAAGAGATAGTTACCAGAATTATCAATTTGTTGCCGTTGTCTGTAATCGATATTATATTAGCTTAAATTTCGAGGCACAGAAGATCAATCAGAGATAATAAACGATAAGTCAAGAACAATGGCTGCGTCCTTTTCAATTAGGACACATTAATTCGGTGGATAAAATTAAAATTTCACAGTTGTATCGAAATTTTACGAAGCCCGAAGAGAGATGCAAAGGGGATAATTGAAGAGTATTGACATTACCGACTGTTTTGATGCAATAATTGATAATAATTGAGAGCGCTAGTGCAGCCGTAACATCCAGCTGATCCTTGATGCAACAATTATACAAATTGTAGAAAAATATTTAAATATGGCTGGTGGAAAAAACAGTCAAAGTGGATTTCAGCCGGTAAAATAACAATATGAAATCAAAAAGAGAAAAATCAAATATAAAGATAGTATCGTATTTTTCATATATTTATGATCTAATTTATTTTGTGGGGTTGTAGGATTCCGATGTTCATATTACTTTCGAAGAGCAACAAAAAATTAATAAATTTGCAAGGCAAAATGCAAAGTTGGAAGATTATAAAGAAGAGCTTAAAGTCAAGCAGGTAATTTGATTATGAAAAGATTTAAAGCTCATTGAATTCTTTGATCTGTTGGTCATGCCTTATTTGGTCATGCAAAATTTTATAAATTCTATACATAGAAGCATATATATGTGTGTATAGAGCAATAATTAATTATTTACAATGTTTAGAATGAATTGAAGAATTTGGAAGATGCTTCCGATGAATTGGCTCTTATGGACGATGATGTAAAAATACCATATTACATTGGAGAAGTATTTGTTCATCAATGTCTTGAAAAGACACTGGTAATTATATATGTATATATATATATATATAATAGCGCAAATCATGACTTTAATGACTTTTTACACTATGTCAGAAAAGTATTAGATATTTTAGTTAAAACTTATAAAAATTATACAAAATAATGCTTTTTTTGGTTTGATAGTATTGCTAATCTCTTTTTTTTTATTCTTATGTTGCAATTAACCAGCATTAATAATAATCTTTTTATTCTTAGAGTTGTTTGGAAGATGCTAAAGATAAGAAAAAAACAGAAATTACAAATTTGGAAAGCAAATGTACAGATTTGAAGACTATCATGAGCGATTTAAAAACACAATTATATGCAAAGTTTGGTAGTCGTATAAATCTGGAATCAGAAGAATCCGACTAATCTTTTCAGTGATGGATTTTTTATTATTATTATTATACATTTAATATAGTATTAAAGAAATTATATTATTATCATTTGCCACACATTGCAATTTTTATTAAAATTTTTATTGAAAAATAAATAAAGTTTAAGTTGAATTTTTTCTACATTTTCTATGTATATATCTGTGTGTAATACAATTTCTCCTAAAAAGTCCAATATCTCAATAGAATTTATTGGTGAATATTTTCCACAAATATATAGCAGATATACTAATGTTATGTTATACTAGTATTTGTGTTTGCACACATATGCATATTATACATATGTAAACACATGTTGCAATTAATATACATAAACTTTATAAAATATATATATATATACTATTATGATAAAAAATATATAATACTATTATGATAAAAAAGTTTATAGCAAACATATTTTTACATAAATCTATAAGTATACACATAATGCAACATATGATAAACCTTTTATTTAATTTAATATTCAAAATTAATTCTTTCTTAATTAATATATTTTAACACTAATTTTTGTCTCTCTCTCTTGTGTTATCTAATAAAGATAGATTTGATAAGAATCCAAATCTGATTCGTAATAAAACTAAGCGATATAACCAAAGCTAATTAACTAAAATTATCAGTGAAACAGAAGCTGAAGATTAATATAGACTAAATATTACATAGGATGGAACTCAAGTTTGGATATTCGCCAAATTGCTCTTATTAGCAATACAAAACTGATCGAAAATACATTCGATGCAATTTTGTACTTATTTTATATTTGGCAAATAGAAGTTTCCAAATTTTTTATAATAATTAAACATACATTATCTGAAAGATTATTAATCATGTACAATATTGCAGTAATCATAACAACTTTAATTGTGTAATGATATGCTGATTATATGACCACATAACATTAAAAATATTCTATATTAAATAATAAAATAATTAAAAATAACTTAAGAAAAAAAAATTTTCTTTTTACTTATTTTAATACTTTTTGTTTTTTTATTAATATTATTGCATATTTTACTTTCTTATATATATTAATACTTGCATCATGGTTAATATAGAAGTATATGTTATAAATTTATACAGAACAAAAACGGCCTTAAAAGTTTTAAGAGCACCAACAAATATTTTTAATTTAATCATTCACACATAGTCATATAACGTTTTCCGTTAAATTCTATTAGAATCAAATCAAATGCATAATAAAGAAATAGAGCAATAAAATGCAACAACACTACATTTATAACTTTATATTATATAAAAACTTTTTATTTATATTTTATTTTTGATCAGTTGTTCATGTACAATGAATACTCGAGTAATTCCTGCATAGCATAGTCTTTTTTTGTCGTCTGGCTTGAGGTAAATTTAGTTTCACCTACCAGCTCTTCAATGCTCTCAGTACATATTCTATCTAATGGCTCATTTAGTTGCTGTCTAAGGATAACTCTGAACGTGTTGTGGTTTATAAAATATAATTACTATAATATTCATATACACATATACAATTATATATATATATATATATTTTTTAAAAATTTTTATAAATATATATATATATATATTTTTTTTTAATTTATATATACACATATATATAAAATAGTTTTAACATATTATAAATATAAAAAGAAGAAAGTATTATAAGAAGAAAATATTATATCTAATATTCTAATCTAATTTTCCAAGTATAATAGTATCTTTTAAGGATTACTTATATACAGAGAAAATGGAGATAGCAAAGGAACTTATATTAATCCTCAAGCAAAATAATAAATCGCATGTTGGATATGGATTACAAAAGGAATGTGAGGCTCTTGTAGGACACATCCTTCAAAATATGGTCAGATCACAAATGCCTCCTCTGCATGCTGTAATGAAAAATGAAGAAGATTCTATTAAATATAGAGAACAAGGTACTTATATATTTTCTAAGTATATAATATAATAATGTGTGTATGTGTACTGTAATTATTGTTTTCAACTATAAAAAAAAATCAGGTAATCAACATTTTGTAATGGGCGATGATCTGGAAGCTATAGAATGTTACACTTTAAGCTTAGCATATGCTAACAGTGATGAACTCATGGCTTACGCACATGCAAATCGATCTGCTGCTTTATATAGGAAACAATTATATAAAGAATGTCTAATAGATATTGATGCAGCTTTACGTCACGGATATCCAAAGGAGAAGCAGAAGAACTTGAAGGAAAGAGGAGATAAAGCAATAATTGAAATAAAAAAGTTGTTGCAAATAGATTCACAGGATATTGATAATCAGAAAGATATGGATAAAGCATATCTATATGATGAATGTATGAAAAAATCTGATACTACAAAACCAACAGAAAATGCTGAATACATCGAAAACGGAACAACGATAAAGAAAGATCAGTGTATTAATGTTTCAAAAAAACAAAATGCGATGGCTAATGAAAATTATCTCTATTATACAACAAAGATCTTTCCGCAGAAACCGAGATATTTGCAGAACGATGATTTCTCCAAGTTAATGTATGGTCCAAGCCAAGAAGTTCCTACCATCAGTGATGGTGTGGTAATATCTTTCTCCGAAAGATATGGTAGACATTATGTAGCAACACGAGAATTTCAACCTGGTGACATAGTCAGCATCGAAGATCCTTATGCACATGTTATCTACGAAGAACGGTGAGAAATAAATTTACATAGAATATCTTTTTTTTTTGCTTAGAATATCATATGTATATATATATATTAATATACTAAATAAATGTACCTGTATTTTCATATCTTCATTTCTTGTTACAGATATTATACGCATTGCCACTATTGTCTTTCTAAAAGCTATAATTTAATACCATGTGCAGAGTGTCCAATAGCTCAATATTGTTCTACAAAATGTAGAAAACTGGCGTGGGAGGTATACCATAAAACAGAATGTCCAATTCTAAAACTATTAGGCAACTTACTTAATGTGGACAAAGATAAAATAAGAATGATTTCGAAGATTATTCGATTGTTGATTGTAGTAACAGAAAATGGACGTAAAATTAAAGAATTGCAGCAGGATATGAAAATCGCGGAATCTAATCCAGGTATATATAATATAAAAATTAATATATAATTGAGTCACTATGATGACTTTTTAATTTTTTTTTTTAATTTTAGATAGTAGAACAGCAGGATTTACAGATACTACAATACTAGACAGTTTTAGCGCACGATCTGCATTGAGTCTGGCAACTAATATGACCACAAGACCGTTAATCGGAATTAGTGCATTTGCTTGTATTTCAGCCCTTGCAGTAATTCTTCTAGCTACACAAACGAAATTTTTCTCTAAGAAATATGATATCGATGACTTGAAGGACATCAGCGAATTTTCCGAACTTAAGTTCTGCGCCAGTATAATGTTTCGTGCTTGTGTAATAATGTCTTCTAATTGTTTTTCAGTGAGTATATATTTTAATAATTATATTTTAATACATTTATATACATTTTATTATAGATTGATCATGTGCATATCAAGTTATCAAAGCCACATTATTTGACTCACATATTTTATACATTTTTTCTCTATGTGAGAACATGCCTATATTGTTAAATTAATGTATATACTAATTAAGGATTTGCCAAGATGTGTGTGTATACAATTAGGTACTTTTTTATAGATACAACAAGAACCAGGAATTATATCAGGTTCAGGTTTGTACGTGGCTCACAGTTTATATAATCATTCTTGCGCACCAAATACTTTTCGACATTTCGAGGGACTTACAATGATCACGCGTGTTTTGACACCAATACATGTCGGAGATCAAATATTTACAAGCTATGGTGGTGTGTACGCGCACATGCCTCGATTCGAGAGAAAGCAGAAGATACTACAAGATTACTTTCTCGATTGCGATTGTCCTGCATGTGAAAACGATTGGCCGATGTATAATGAAATTTTACGCAGTCACATTGGATCTATTTCCAAAAATAAACAGCTTGTGGAAAAATTGAAGCCTTTCAGAGAGAGATTGCTCGCGAATATGTACGATATCGAGGCAGTAAAAGCAGTTCTAGATATATTGCACAAGGAAGTTAGTACACATCCATGTGAGGAGATACTCCATGCAGAGCAATATTTAAAGAGCTATTATTTGGGTAAATTTAAATAAATATTACAATTGTTACGCTTTATGCTTAAACGTAGTCGTCACACATAGAGCTCTGCTTACTACTTTAACATTATTTGCTTACTTCCATTAATTAATATCTCTGGCTTAATGTAATCACCCACTGCTTTGTTTCCCTATTATAGCCAATAAAACTTTTAGCAGCACTACTGATATAATTTTTTATAAATGGTTATTTAATTTCTGCTTTAATTTACACTTACTGCTATATAAAACGCTATAATAATTATAAATAAATCTACATATAATAAGGAAAAAACATTTTTCTGTATTTCAGATCCATGAACTGTCAAAAATATGACATATAATATTACAATTTTTAAAAACAACTACAATATATTCAAAAAAAAGTGTTTTTCCTTTAGAACATCATGTATATCAAGAATATTGTGTATAGTTTAAAAATTATACATTATATAAAACTCCCTTTTTATATGATTTAGAATTAGTAAGATTATATGCTAGATTTTATTTATGCAACATATATATAATATTAAAAGTCCAACACCAAAATCAGATTTCTGCTAATAAAACGTTTGTTTCCATCATGGATCGAAGACACTATACCAGGCATGCAGGTAACCAATAATTCTAATGATATGATTAAACATTTTTAAGCTTCAAATGTTTTATGTAAAAACTTTTATATAAACTGATTGAGATTTTATATATAATTTCGCAAATTGTTACATCTTATATAAATATATACTAAGTAAACACTGGATTTAAATTGAGAAAATTTTATGTCTATCTTTTTATTGGTTAATTTATATATAAGAATATACAAATTTAAGAAAATAAAAAGTGTGTAATGTATTTTAAATTAAATTTTTTACTAACACTTCAATAAATTTTTTAATTAAAACATAACATTAATTCAAACACTTAACTCTAAGAATAATTATGTATGTACAACATTGGTTTCTCTTTGATGTCTTAAATTACGAGAATTCGAATATTTTAACTTTTTCATATATCATGAAATTATTAAAAAATTATTATATGATAAAAAAAACATTTCATCTTAATCTCTTCAAACATTACCAACACTTTGATTCTCTTGCGTAGCTGAAAATAATATGCAGTAATCTTATTCATATATGTTTAGTGTGTTAATTACAGAATATTGTTTCATAAAATTTTATTAAACTTAATACCTTTGTATGAATATTCCAAGGCAGTGGCTATTGTTCTCATATCACCTTCTATACTGCGTGCCCAATTTTCCGCATCCCCAATCTCTTTTAAAGAACTCGAAAAGGATTCTACTAAATTCAACCACAATTGTGTTTGTTTGGCAAAATTCGTTGCGCTATGTTGCAGTTGCTTCGCTTCCGCATCTAATTTCTTTTGATTTAAGTATGCTTGAGCCACTCTGTAACAATAATATCTTCTTCTCATATATATTATCATATATACATAGATTAAATCGTAAATAAAAATTCTATTTACCCAACATTCAAGTGGTCAACAAGAGCTTGTGTCAAATTGCTTGCAGCCTGAACAGCTTCTTTTCGTTTTTGTTCTGTTGAATTGTTCATACATTTTAATAGATGTAATAATTGTCTTTATCATAAAATCGTACAATCTTCGTTTTACCTTGTTTTTCTTTTCTCATCGCTTGCTTGTTCTGGTGTTCTTTCACAATTGTCGATAACATTTTTACTAATTCTGTGCTCTGCTGAAAACTATATATATATATATTAAACGTTTTATTATATATATAACATTTTCTTTGACTATAACAGTTTCATATTTTTTAAATTATAATAAATAATTACGTTGCTTAGTTTTTAGCATCAAGTGATATGAATTAACTTTTCACCACATAAAGATTCGATAAAAATTAGAATTATATACATAAATATCGCTTTAAATTACATCAAGTTTGCGTATCTAGAATCTAGATATTTATGTTTCAAGACTTTTATCCATAGATATAGATTATACATAGGGTGCACTCTCCATTCGATAATATAGGGAAGGAGTAGAGCTCAATGGCGAATTTCGGAACACGGATTTTATCTAACGACATTTTCATTTCTAGAAAACAAACTCTTCTATTGGACCCATTAGCAAGTGAGTCAATCATGCATCGGTAGGTGGCGGTTTGAATTTCTGTAACGAACGAATTGTAGTCGCGAGGGGACGGGAGTGCACGGAGTACACATTTTATGCCACACGGAATCATACGGAAGAACCAAGATCATTCGACGATGCCGACGAGTCTCGTTGGTGTACATACAGTTTACCTGTTGATAATCGAGCCCCCGAACTAGAGTGAGAAAATAGAAATTCGCAACGTGATTTTACGAGCGATGCATTCGCGGTGAATCCCGTGCGAGATAAAGCGCCCGTTTTCCGTTGGGACGGTCAACATTTTCATACAGAAGAAGCGCGAGCAAATGATATGCGTTCCAATTTCGCGTGTCGTGAAAATTAGAAAACAGGCGCTGTCATTGTTCTTGCATGTAGCCCGAATTGGGCTGCGATGTTTCTCGGCTGTACGCGCGGATTCTGAGAACTATCGCGCTCGATTCGGAATTTTCGCAACGCGACAAATTCCTTTGAAGACGGAAGCCAATTTCTTTGAAGACGATTGAAGATGTAATGTAATTCTTTGCATATCCTTGTGAAATTGGTTGTCCCTCTGTACTTTCTTTGCGAAGCGGCAATTAAGATCTTTTTGAGAGAGAGGATGGCAATTCGCATTACATTGGAATGTGGACACACATCAATGTTACGTATGCGCACCACTCCTGAAGGATATACACATGATTGGGAAATCTTTGTGCGAGGAGTGGATAATGCGGATATACATCATTACATTGAGAAAGGTATCGTTTCTTAGTTTACTGTTAAATATACATATATAACATATAGATATGTAAGGTATATATAAGCACTTTTTTTATCATCAATAAATGGTATTTATTTTACACAATACATTTCGGAACCCTAAAAGGGTGTTAAAAGAACCACCATTTGTGGTAAAAGAATCGGGCTATGCAGGTTTTATAATACCTATTGAAATTTATCTGAAAAATAAAGATGAGCCCAAGAAGATTCACATACAGTATGATCTTATTCTGCAGCCAAGTGGTCCACCTATTAATAATGCCATACGTCATACAGAACTAATTCATAATCCTTCTGAGGAATTTAAAAAAAAACTATTGAAAGGTGGAGCTGTAAGTATAATATTGATATAACTTTAGACATTGTTATATTTATATAATGAAATTTTTTAAAGTTTGGTTATATATATCTTAAATCTAGTATTATATATACAAAACCTGTTATGAAAAATTATTGTAGCAAGTATATGTATAACATAATTCATAAATGTTAATTGATTAATTAGTGATTCATGGACACATGATTATTTTCTTTATTATATTTTTTAATTTCAGGTTGTTGTATCCAGTAGAGATAGTTCACTAGAAAAGAGTGATACGAAAACACCGACAATGGTTGGCAAACCGAAATTAAATGGCAGCGAAAGCAAGAAATATCGCATTACCGAGTCTAAAACTTCAAACTCGTTTCAAGAATTATTTGGGCCTCCTATAAAGACAGCGCCTATAAAAATTTCACCAGACAGCAAGAAATCAAGTCAATCTGATAAAAATTCAGTTCCTAAACCTTCAACTATTGTTGAAAAATCTGACAAATTAGATAAAACAATTAAAACAAAGGAAAGTCCTCATAAAGATAAAAAAGATAAAGTAGATGAGAAAAAGGACAAAAAAAGTAGAGACAGTTCTAAAGATCGGCTCAAAAATAAAGAAAAATCTAAGAGACCTCCTAGTCCAGGGAATAAAAGTCATTTGAGCCCTGGGAATAAGAAATCAACATCACCTGTTGTTACAAAGAAACCATTAAGTCCTCTTCCATCATCTACAAAGAGATCTTTGTCTCCTAAGCCAAAAGAAAAAGAGGTAAAGAAAATTTTATTGGAAAAAGATAAAGATAATAAAGAGAAAGACAAGATAAAAAATAATTCTAGGAGCGATATAGATTCTAAATCGGAGAAAAAGAAAGATAAGAAAAAACATAAAGATGATAGGGACAAGGAAAGAAAGGATAAATATAAAGAAGCAGAAAAAGTTAAAGATGTCATGAAAATGACCGAGAAAAAGACTGAAAAAACGGATAAGGCGGAAAAATCAGACAAGGAAAAACCTCAAGAATACAAATCGTCAAGAGATGGCAGAAAATCTCCAAAACCTGTGAAAGAAAATAATAAAGTGAAAGATGATAAAGCGATAAAAGAAAAATCAGAGAAAAGCGAGAAATCTGAGAAAATAAAAGATGGCAAAAGTGATAAAGATAGACAAAAGCATAAGCATAAGAAGAGAGATAAAAAGGATAAAAGAGATAGCAAAGATAGGGAAAAGAAGGAGAAACGTGAAAGAAGCAAAGATGGGAGCGAGAAACAAAATAATACGTCTTCTGCTTCGGTAGGGAACTCACTGTCCCTTTTAACTGAGGTTCCAGAAAGAGATAGCAGCGATTCGACACCTTCCGTAGATGACGATTCATTACTTGAAAGTAAACCCATGCTTAGTGTCAAGAAGGATACAGAACATGCAATAATACCTACGCCTGCAGAAACAGCAAAGCCAGTATCTCCAGGTATATCAGTAGATATAAAAAAGGAAAAGAGTGATCGTAGCAGAAAGGACAAATCCAAAGGAAGCAGAGGCGAGGAAAGAGAAAATCGAAAAAGAAAGAAGAGCAAAGAAGATGATGAGATTCCAGCTAAACATGAGAAAAGCAGGGGTCATTCGACGTCTCCGCCTTTGGAACCAGTTTCGTCGAGTCAATCTCCAGTCGCGATGGACGTTGACTCTATTCATCATTCAGAAAAGGAATCAAAAGCAGTTAGAAAAGAGAAGGATGATCGTGTTGTTAATTCGGTCGATCAAGTGACAAATGATAAAGACATGGAAATCGATGCTGAACAAGTGGCCCCAGATTCCACAAACAGCACCGATGCAGAGATTAGTGAACCACCAGTGTTTTCAGAAGATTATGTATCGCAATTGAAGGATTTGCAACAAAAAATAATGACGTTGCAGGATAATGAAGAGTTGCAGAGAGTTGTGCAAGTAATTGCAGAGACTGGTCAATATGAAATTACTAAGAAAACATTTGATTTTGATTTATGTGCATTGGATCGTAGAACTGTACAGCGTCTTCAAGAGTTTTTCTCTGCATCGTGACCACCTGTAGTATGAGGTATGACACATTAATATATATATATATATATATATATACACATTCTTGTAAGATCACACATTAAGTCATATGATTCTACAACAAAATTTTTAGTGACAAAAATAGTAATGTATAAAACCCCAGAAGAATTTTCAAGTATTTCCCTATTATTATTGCATTAATTTATATGAATTAGAAATGTACCATTTCTAATGCGCTAACATGCTGCAACAAAAGAAATTTTCATTGTAATAAATATAATGTAATAAAATATATAATTTCTTTTTTACATTCTTCAAGAAAATTGTTATTGAAAAAATGCTTGATTCACAGAAATTTTGCCATGAAAATCTGCAATATAGTTTGTTGAATATAACTCACTGGTATATATATAATGTATATCTAAAAATACATATTTTTTATTATTAAAGCTATTAAAACAATTAACTTGATCTTTCAATTTCGTTCAAACATATCAAAAATAATAACACCCTTTTAATGTTAATAGTTATTGACGTCCAAATCTTTATATAAAATAACATTCTACTCCTTATTTATATGGCAAGCATGTATAAAAGATGCAGATGAAGATTTTGTTATTTAGTGGAGTATTTGTATTGTTTTTCTGGGGTACTTTTAAAAGTGTCTTTAAAATGCATTTATTATATTATATTGTGGACAACAACAACGTTGATTTTATATAGCACTTGTATCATTGTTACACTGAGTGGCATAAGAGAAATTATTTATAAGCATATAAATGTGCGTGATTAATCATGTCTGCTTTGTAACATAGACATACGCGTTTTCCTTCTTTCTATAAGTAAACGCCTTACTATAGATTTACTTATTTATATTGAGACTACATCTTATTTATTCATACTTTTGTAGGGATATGTATTACAGACTAATTTTTATGTTAAACACAGAGTGACATTGTAAGGATTCATAATAATATTTCCTATATTGTAATATAAAGCGTATTATGTATTATATAATGTATAAGGAAATGAAAAAGAGTTACATGATAACTCGTGTGATGCTGCGATATCTTATAAGATATTACATCTTAAGAAATTCTTTTTATCTCAACGTAATATTTTCTCTACTCAAAGAGAGTTGTACTATTATATATGTGTAAAAGGGATACATCATATTGAAAAAGCGTATTGCTGCTAAATCAATCTCGCTCTTTGTACTATTAATAGCTGATCTGTAATCTGTTTGATTATAAATTCTGTACCTAAATTAATACATATTGCAAATACATGCAACATATGTATATCATTAATATACACATCAATCTATATATTTTCTCTTTCATTATTTCTTCGACTTTCAGTTTTTTCTTTGACTTGAAGTGAATTTTGTATTCTAGATAAGATTGGCTTATGTAATAAGACTGGCTTTTTTCTATGACTTTAGCTTTTCTTTAATGCGCAAGTTATCTGATTTTTGCAGCATTGGAAATGCGTGCAGTACAACGATGTAATCCTGTATAATATTAGTCACTTGTATAGACCAGTCATGATGTTATGTGCAATTGATACATCAAATAGTCTAATGTTTTGATAATGTTAAAAAAAAATAATTAAATAACAAAGGGTGTACATTATACATAAATTAAGGCAATATATGTGTGTGTAATTTTTGCGGTGTGTTATTCGTAAGAATGGTTAAACGAAGCGCGTGAAAGAAATATCATGTGGTTCATATTTCAAGAAGCATGTCGTTATCGATCGAAGAATCAAATGTGTGTATATACGCATGCCTATCAGTTGATGAATACTCAATGTTACACCGTTCTCGGCATACATTGTCATTAGCACAGATAAATGAATGAGTGATCATTTCAAGTGATGCGGCATTTTTGAATCATTTTTTTATATATTTTATTTTCTCTTTTTTTTTTTTTAACACGTTCACACGAACATTTGTATACAGATTGGAATATTTCTATTACTATTGTATTATATATACATTTTTTTTACTCGATGATAAATATCAATATGCATAAAAGGCTTTTGATAAGCTTTCGATAAAGAGTATCAAAAAAGCAGTATTCTGTATCTTTTTGAGAACTTTTATGCAAAAAAACGCATTGTCATCAATATTCTAAAAATTGTACAAATTATTTGAAAAATATGTTACCATCACTTGAGAGATATTATTACGAGATGTCCAGATGAAAATGATTACATATATATGTATATGCGAGTCATAAATTGCAATGGATGCGGCTTTGCCATATTGCCTGCTAATATATAAATTAGCTTAGAAAGCGCACATATTTACTACTATAACAGATTATATTGCAAAACATCATAGTTTAATCAATGACTGTTGTATTTGATCTGAATTTGCTTTTCCTTTTTTAACACCACTTTGAATCCTTACATAATTGGCGTTAAAAAGGTATGTAAACAGTTTTTTAAACATCTTGATGAATGTTTTAATCGCGTATATTCTTTACGGCAATACATCAAAGCGCTTTCTTGGTGTAATCAAATGATAACAAGATATTTTGTACATCATAAAAGATAGATAAAATAATAAGACTAGATGTAATTTTTAGACGCCTTTTTCAGATGCGATAGACGAATTTTTTGTCATAATTTCGCGAACGAAATTTTTTTATAAATGTCAATATATCGAATTGAGTTCAACTGATCGAAGAAGTTTATGGAAGTTATATTATAACATCCATATGGACATTATATATTTAGTCGGAAATAACATACATATAATGAAATTCGTAAATATATGCGCGCATATATTATGCGCACATTCTTATCGTGGTGATATGATATTCAGTTCGCGTTGTTGCACGCGTGTTGTTCGCGTGGTTACATAATCTCTTCCTTTTTTCGTAATTATAAATTCGTATCACCTTTGTATTCTTGTGGCATCGTTAGCGCATTAAAAAATGCAATCGTCTATAATCCAAATTTTTTTATTTCTCTCTCTTTCTCATCTAGATAATACCTATATTACTATATGCAGATTTCGCGCTCTGCATATATCGTAAAATGAACTGAGTATCATTTAACCGCACCATATTAGTTATTGAATGAATATATGTATCATTGTTTTTACAATTATGTTCGAACAGTGCTACACGATGTACATTAATAATAATAATAATAATAATAATAATAATAATAATAATAATAGTACTGTGTCCGAGTTTACTCGATCTAATCGTTATGGCATAATATTTAATTGCATATGCATAGTCATTAAAATCATTGTTATGCGTTTTTGTAAGAATTTCTAGATCAATGTTGTATAAAATTCATAGGTGCACAAAAATTATACGTTCTCATGATTCTCATTTATATGTACATAATAAACAAGGTAGACGATAGCATGCAGAATAAAAAAATGTGGTCGATGACTTTGGAAAATATAGTACAAGACGCGCGAAACTATTGGATTTATATGCCATTAAAACACGATATACGTTCTATGTACATTTATTAAATAATTAAAAAATAATAAACGTCATGAGAGAAAACAATTGTATCTGGAAATACTTTTTTTATATCTTTATTTATATCTTTTTTGTATCTTTTTTTATATCTTTATTATGTGAAATATTGTAAGCTTCATAAATCTTAAGATGATTTCGTGCTATTTTGATTATATTTAATTTGCATGTCACTGTATGAAATGATAGGAAAATAATGCATAAAAATATTGATTACTTAGCGCAGAAATGCGCTTTTGTATCGGTTTATCGATTTTATATTACTGTTTATTGAATTTCTCTTAATCTTTGGTACACAATAATGTAACAGAATAAAATTGATTACGTTCTGCTCACATCGATAGAGCTCCATCATAATAATAACATTAATTACAAGGATAGCGAACGTGAATAGTAAATGATATTCACGGCATATCCTTTAGTTATTTCTTTCTTTTTCGTCGAACGTCGAGCTGTAACATTGTTCGCGCAAATATAGAATGTCGATTTCTCAACAAGAAGATTGAAACAATTATTAGGCACGCGAAGCATAGCGAGATAGTAAAGTACTCTAATATCCTGCCAATTCGGCGAACGTCGAATCCATTTCATCGGCCAGCGACTTGTATCTGTCCTTGTTGAGACCCAATTCATCTGAGAAAGAGAAACATAAGATGATTTTATTTTCATCGCCGTTTTTGCGCACTGCCCGTGAGAGAGGAAAACAAAAATATATTTAGCAATACGAACTCACCTTCGAGCCTGTCGACCTCCTTCTGGAGCTTCTTGACGGTCTTCTCGGCAAACTCGGCACGGGCTTCGGCCTCCTTTAGTTTGACCGTCAAGGTCTTCAATTGGCGCTTGAATTCTTCGACTCGTTGATTGGCCTGAAAATATTTACAGAAATTAGCATAAATCAATAATTTAAATAAATTTCAAATTTAGCATATTTTCATTGTAAAGAGAATTGAGAACACTTGTTCTCCAGTGAGATAGCCGTAAATACATTGCTGTTTACGTTTTAACGATCGCACTATACCTTTTCTTCGGATACTTCCAAAGATTTCAAACTGTTACCGACGACTTTCAATTCCTCTTCCAGTTCCATGACCTTCCTGCGAGAGCAGAAGATAGAAATTGCCTGAATTTTATCTTTTGACTTTAAGTATATTAGCATTTGCTGATGATTTTAATAGCGACTTACGCTTCACCGGATTTCACGCGATCTTCCGCGACTTCGAGCTCGTCTTCAACGAGGGCCAGCTTGCGCGATACCTCGTCAGATTTTCCGTCAGCGTCTTCCGCGAGCAGGCGAGCCTCCTTGAGTTGATTCGTCAATTGGTCCATTCTCTCCTCGTCCTGTTGCGCACGGTTTTCCAATACTTTGCACATACTGTAATTGTATCGCATATCTCGTAATGTGTCATCAAAGTATGCGTGCAGCTTGATTAAACGTATAATTACCGGCTGGATTCGTCGGCGGCCTGCGACGCTTCAGCCAGCTTAGCAATCGCAGTGTTTGATCGTTCCTCCGAGCGCTCGAGGTCCTCCTCAATAAGCTGGACTTTGCGATTACGAGCGGCTACTTCGGACTCGGCCTAAAATAATTAAATGCACGAAGATCAGAATTTTCGTCGAGTATGGACTTAATATTATCGATCTCTTTAGTGCGGTTTTGATTGTTCATAATGTGAAATATCAAAACAATGCGACTAACAGTACAAAAGAAAATTCGAAAGTATAAGCTTACGTTAGTAAGAGATTTCTCGCGATCCTCGAGATCCTTGTTGGCTTGCTCGAGAGCTTGCTTGTTGGCTTCCAGATCACCTTCGACCTGAGTCAATTTTTTCGTGAGATCCGCAACCTCCTCGAGAACTTTGTCCGCCCGCATATTCGCTTCCTTCGCCTGCCCTTCGCAGGTGTCGGCCTTATCCATAGCATTGTCTTTCTCAATCTTCATCGCTTGCATCTTCTTCTTGATGACATCCATGGTGGCGGCTTTGCTTTGAGGACTGTCTCAACGAAATTACCGAGTTTCCTGAAAATGAAACATTCCTGTCAAATTCCATATCGATATCATATCGTGAACGATGATTCATGCTTTCGCGAGTGCCTTTGAGTTTGAATCTCGGGTTTGAATCGGAGGCTGCATTTCTGAACGTACGCGCGCTTGCAGGCCATCATGAGTCTTGCATGATCGAATTTTGCAAAGCTATAATTCCGGCGGCTGATCGCAACGCGTAAGCACGAAGAGGAGCACGCATCAGGGCGTCTACGGAAATAGCATCTACAGCCCGATTCTATAAATATGTGCGGAACGACGACGGAGCTCTGACGCCGTGACGGCGCAAGAAGAGGCCAAAACATAACGAGTGTAACCCAGAAGAACGGGCTTTACTTGGCCGCCACCGCCGACCGACATTCGATCTAACCGACGAGTATTAATAGCATTTCACAAGATTTCGGTGAAGCCCTCCGTGATCGTGGCCTCCTCGCGCGGATTTTGCGGGTCGCGAATCAAACTTATTTTGCGGGGGCATGCATTTTACATCTCCAGGAAAAATGCGTACATTCTTGCGACATTGTGAGAAAACTAATCATGAAAATATGAGAATGCCATACATGATTGCGGAAAATAATATTGCACGATTTATGAAACAAATATTATTATACAAAAATTCGTTTCTAACGTTACTCGTAATTTTATATACGTGTGATGTAAAATAATCGGAATTATATAAGTAGAGAAGATTGTGGAAACAATATTTAATCTGCATGGAAGACGTTAAAGCAGAAATACCATTAAAAAGATAGCTGCGCATAACAATATAATATTTTATATTGATTTTCAATGTATAAAGCTATCTCCTGCTATATATCTATTGCGGAAAATAAAAAAAATGTAGCAAGCAAGAACGAAAGAAAAAAAAAATCGCGAGATCACGAATTATTTTTAACGATTTGTACCAAAAATTTATTAATTATCTATCGTAAAACTGATCAAAATATATTATTCAAAATGTAATATTTTTAACCACGAGGTATTAATAGCCTGCAGAGCCGATGGTTACATTTATCACATTTGATGTCAGTGACACATCGTATTTATTTCCTTCAACATGGAAAAAAATTTGAAAAGAACGTATTTGCACGCACGTTTTCTCCGCTTTTGATGAGCGATTTATAGATTATCATGTTTAAAAAAATACGATATATATATTGTATTCAATAAAATGTATAATGTAACGTATTAACGCATGCATCGTTGACAGTTACAGATGCTACTTACGACATTGCTTTATGTTAAGCCCGAAAGGAAATTATCTTGAAGCGTTAGCAGAGCTGTTATTATTTAGCAGCAATTATAAAAGCTCTTGCAAAAGTCCAAGTCTTCGAGACACTGTGGATCTTCGTGAATCGACTACGTAAAGCTTCCTGTAAGAAATTAAGCGTCGTCCATCGCCTGATGTGAATTTGAATATGAATCAAATCAGATAAGTCAAATTGATGGATTTGTTATTTATTGAAATATATAAGCATCAAGTATATTGAAAATAGTATGCGTGGATGGATCGTCGATCGCAGAAATGGATTAATTTCGAGCTACCAAAATAATCATCTGCAATTTTGGAGCACTTACTCTGTGTAAATTACATTTTTACACATTTTAATGGCCCTTGTATTTTAAGTACGAATGCTCTTTTGCAGTCGCGGTCTATATTCCACTGATTTCCATTGCGATGATCAACGCAGTCTGATCTATCCACGCGCGCAGAGGGTTGCATCCTGAAAATACTACTTACAGGCACCGCAAAGTGCATCGACGAGCCGCTTAAAGCACAAATTCCAGTATTAAAACTCCTTAAAGTTCAAGCGCTGATTAGTTTGGCACTCTCGGACATATTCCGTCGATTTATCCCGTCGACGAACGTCATCTTCGTCGATACTTCTTCCGTCGTTCTCCAGTAGTTGACGAGAGCTTATTCCGCATAGCGCTGCCACACGTTTTTCAGCGTAAAGCGTATAAAAAGCAGAGAGACAGACAAAGAGAGAGAGAGAGAAAAATAAAAGCGAAGCATTTTCACCGCAGAACAAAAGTGCGTTATCGGGAATGATGCACTTACCTAACTCGAACGATCGGAGCAGCGCGAGACGAGTATCTGAGCGTAGAGAATGGAAAAGCCGCCGCACGAAAAGCGCGCGGCGGAAGGACGCGCATGTCGCGGGTGGGGATCCCAAAAATGGCCCGCCGCGAGCCCCCCGTAACACGTTTATTTTCTGCTCTGTGCGGAGACGATCTGTCGCACCTTCATCCGTCGCTGGAGCGCGCAGCATCGGTGGATCAGTGTCTCGCAATGGAGTAATTGACGAACTGTCAAGGCAGAGTAGATGCTTTCGAAAGTATTTATTTACGATTTCGAACGAGACGAATTTCATGGCTGTTTTGTATCTCTCATCTCTGTTAAATCAATTTATATGTACTTTACAATTTACATATCTTTTTCGTACTGCAACTATGACGCAACAGACAAAAATTTTTATTTTTTATAATGTAATAATAGGATAATTTTTCTTCTGGAAAAAAAATATATATACGTACTTTTTTTATGAGTCAATTAATGCAAGATACATATTAACAGAGAATAATCATTTTAAGAAAGAAGAACTTCAAAGAATGTAGAATATATTTAGACAATGTCAATTATAATTATTTTTTATTCATTATTTTTCGTAACTCATATCTGTTGAACAAAGAATGCCACTTATATAGACACTTACAAGGTATATAGACACGTATACAAGTGTTTAAAAATATTTACAAAGGTTCAGATATATATTTTCATAAAGGATTAACGCGTTTATAGAGAAATATCTGTTCTCTTTCTCTCTCCCTTCCTCTCCCCCTCTCTCTCTCTCTCTTTCTATCTCGCATTTCCTGTCTTATTTCCGTTTCACGTCCTTCGCTCTTGGCGAATCATTTTTAGAGATCGCTTCGCTTCGCCACGCGTTCACCTGCTCTGTCAGATATTTATCATCGTGAAAAAAATAAACTTTTATTTTAAGGCCGTCGTTTCAAGTATCCTAACTAGTTTAGTGTTGACAAATGTACAATGAGAAACACGATTGCGTAGAGCTCGATTTTGGATAATTTCTTAATTCCTGACTTTTCTCGCACATGAACATGTGGCTTATTATTTTTTTTTTTTTTTTTTATACGCGCAGTGTATGTATGTACACACACCTATCGAATATTTCTGGATTAAATCCTTACAGCATAGCTTGCCAAATATACGGCAAGCCAATGTTTTATAAAAATTTATATTTCTTCTTAAGATTTGTCTCTCTTTGTATCGTTCTGCAGTACAATTATCTCAATTTTAATATATTATTTCAATAAAATCTTTCATATTATTGCCGATAAAAACGTTAAATTCTATATATTTATATATTTTTAAAGAGGTAGAATAGCGAAAATATATACTACAATATCTATCTTTACATACTTGTTAACATACTTGTTTTATAAGTGCAATTTTTTTACGATAGAAAGATAACTACGCGATAAAGGATTAACGTAAACAGCATTGTTGTATAATATTTGTCTCGCTCAAACCCAGAGTTGGTCGAAGATATTGTTAAGGATATTATAAAGAGGTCCTTAATTTCGAGCAGATAATTAGGAAGAGGATTGTTTTATTATATTTGTGCTTATTGACCTTATTACGATAAAATCCGGGAGGGTTATGCTATTTATTTTGCAGTGATCTGTGTGTAGGAATAGGAAAAGGAGAGTGTAAAAAGTGATAGAATTCGTGAAAAATGTATATGTCGGATAATGTTATAATACACTTAGCTCTTTTGAATTCTAATGCGAAGAGCATAGAGAAACACAGTATAACAAAATATATGAAATATTTATAAAACAGCACATTCCAACGATATTTGTGAAAATGTCTTTTATATCTCGTAGTGATAATACTCGATAAAAATTTCAAAGTAATTCTTTATATTTCTCTTCGACAGAAGAGAAAGATTCTTGCAGAATTATTGATGTCTCGTTGCGCGATAATAAATCACAAAAATCCGATAAATATACTTTCGATATTAGATTATCAGCGCGGTTATGGAGATAAAATGGAATACATAGACATCGCATTGAAGTGTAAAGAATCGAATTTTAATATTTTCCGCGTGACAAATCTTTCACAAATAACGACGGAAGTGCTCGAACGCGAACGTAGTCGTGCATGGCCAAAGCCGTGCCTTATCACATATTTTCAACGTCATTTTTCCCTATATATACATGTCCGATTTTTAAATCTAAAAAGTATTTATATATATAGTTTTATAGATATAGATTCTCGTGACACACACGCACACACAGCTTGTATAATGGACATACATTACCGATCAAGATAGACTTCGAAGCTATTTTATGCCGTGTAACCGCGCTACATCGCTCATCACCAAACTACTTAACGAGTATGCTATACGAATGTTTTCTAGACTGGACGTCGATGGTGTACATTGAAATTTCTTGTGCACATTATTGCTACCCTAACTCTCTGGATAAACGGCTCGTGACTCGTGATATTTTATGGAGCTGCCCCGCGTGATGGAGCCGCGCGAAGCGTCTGGCCTCATTTATCGGAGACGTGCAGCTTAACTGCGATAGAGCAAAGACCGATTATTTTTTAATCTGCGCGCTTATACGAGCATGAATTAAAAATTTATGCGCACAACTCTATCTCTATAAAATTAGATGCTGTTATTTAACGTTCAGTAGAAAACGCTAGAATATTGTTACATCGATTGTGTAGACGACGTATACGGAATAATTATAAATGTTAGAGATTTTTTCAAAGCGTTATTCAGGTGCAGGTTCGTTAGCTACATATATCGAATTGTATCATAGAATTATGTGTATTAAAATGATGTAAGTGAGAATTTATTTTACTCAAGGTGAGATTTATAGAATATATTATATATTTTATCGCGGAAATGAAAAAACCGCTGAGATATATAAAGTCATGTATTATCCTGTTTGGCAGTGACAGAAATGCCTAGGACAATATATGAAATATCGCTTAACCCTTGAATGCATGATGCTTCAATAAAATTTTTCTTTAAAGGGAGATAGAATGGTTTAATGCTAGAATTATTAATAATCTGTTCTGGTTACATACTCTGGTTGAGAAATTGAAAATACTCATATAAAATGTTACACATGCACAAAGCTACATGACAGTATTATATTTCATTTGTCTAACTTCCATAAGGTTCAAAAATGTTTCAGCAAAAACATACTCGGAAAAATTCTTTTCTATTTGCACGATGTTGATTGATGGTAAATCTTGAGAGCAGGATCAAATTAATATGCACAATTAATTTTTCTCATGATTAATAGTCGTCGCTTTATCGCCAAATTATAATCGATAATACTTAAATCTGTTCGATTTTACGTCACGATACAATTTCAAATTTAAATTAAGATTTTTAAAACGTTTCGGTTTATTATTTTGCGAGCAGATTTTATCTCTGATATATTCATTTTCTTTTCTAAGGAAAGAATAACTTGATAGATTTCGATATCAACGTTTATCTGCCATACAATAGCAGAGGCACGAGCGGAATTGGTTCAGTTGAGATTGTAAAATCCAGTTGTAATGTCAAAGTACTATTGTGATTTTAAATGCATATGCACGCAAGATTTAATCAAGGTCTTCCGATTGTACCTCGAATATTAGTATGAGTTTGCACACAATATACAACACGATCTTACATATGATTTGTGCGAGGGATACAAGACAGAAATAATTAGCTTTATGTACTTCCATGAAAGAGATAGAGAATTGCTGAAGGGGCATTAGGTTTTCTTTAATAAGATGTGTATTTATATGGTAAGAATATATTAAAAATTTTAATATTTAAATATATTTTTATTCAAATATTTTATCTATTTTATTCGTCGCCTGCAATAAAGAAAATGATAGATATTGATATACATATGTCTATATCGTTAGAAAAAATATTTTAAACATCTACTCCATTTTTGCTTAAAACCAGAGTATTACAAGTTTTAAATTTGCTGATATGTATACTTATTGTGTTTTTGTATATCGCGTCAGTCTTAATTTAATTTAGTTTTTATGAAAGAAGCTCGATGCATTCAAGGATTAAATATTATATAGCGAGATCATGAAGAATAATGTTAACGAGCGAAGGAAATATAAACGTCAATTGACGAGTAATCCAGTGTCACATAAACGAGCGATTGTTTATGTTACAATGTTCGAGCTTAAATTTGCATATGTAATACATTATCGTCCGTGGTTTGAAATACGAGATTTTCCAATCGATATCGTATCATCGGTTATCCGCTTCCGTTGCGGAATGCAAATTAATGTTTCGCGCGGGTCAATGTCGAATTTTATTTTATCAGAAATTACTCCAATTTTATTTCCAAATCTATTAGAATGTTTATTGTGATAAATGTTTAACAATTTGTGATATCGTAATTGACCTCTGTCAATTAAATTGCCTCAAGTCTTTAGCATGAATTAATATCCGCGGTTGATTAATGTATAGATTTATTACGTCTTTAAATCGAAATTTTTTTAAACATTTTATCACAATGCGCAAGAGATCCATTATTTTACTGATAAAAATTGATTGCAATAGACTTTTTTTCATTCACGTTAATAGATAAATGAATTTTTGTGCGAGCTCGGAATAATTAATCAGCTCAGCTGTCGAACGGATTGAACTTCAATGAGCGTGACTCCGGAAGACTTCGCAACGCCTGATATAACGACGCGTTGTCGGCGTCGCCGGCGCTAAAGCGGTGCCATAGCTTGTTGTCCGGATCCCAGGCTGAGTTGGGCGGCCTGTACAATCGAGGAATGTGCGAAGCGTTGTGAGTAATTCCAAAAACGTAGCTGTCATTTCCTGAAATCGGTTCAAATCGCGTCAGCGTCCGACGTCGACGAAAATTCTCGGTGCCAAGTCTCGTGGATATAGTAGATACAGAACAGAGTGTAGGCGCAATTGCATCACGATCAACAAAATTTGAGAAGTGAGAAATTTGTATTATATAAACAATTTATATATACAATATATACAGGGTGTTAAAAAAGGGTCACTGGACCCAAGTTACTTTTTTTTCTTGTTTTGATCGATATTACTTGCTCTCAAAATATGTGACTTTTTTTTAACACTCTGTACACACACACACACACACACACATATATATATATATATA